TATGGATAGTCAGACAATTAAGCGTTTTTGGGACATTTTGGGATGCAGGTATTTGTTTTCATGGATGGGTCATATGTCACGGAGGGATAAATTGAGTTTCATAGGTGATGTCACCGTCCCACACACCGATACTAAAAGAAAGACGGCATTGAAAGCTATTGACGAAGCATACGAGTGCAAAATCAGGGAACAAGTGGTCCCACAGAGTCCGGAGGAGTAGGCCTGTAAAATGGTGAAGCAGACTGTCAGCTAGTTTTTTGGGAAAACAATTCCCACACAAAATACCAACAGTTCCCGTTTGCGCCACGCTGAGGGTTGAACTGCCCAATTCTGTTTTTAAGTCGCAGAATTTCTATAAGTCTGCCTTGTCTCCATAATACTGCAATTCATTCATTTAAGCCTAACCTTGTTTTGCAGAGACTTCTATGGGACATTATACTTCGGCACGTGTTCCATTATGCTAAACTTTACCAACGTCTCTGCGATGTGTTGTTGTTTTCAAAGAACAAACTATCCCGTCAAAATACATACGTTGAAAGCTGGCAAAAATGCTGATTTTCAACAAGAACTCAACGTGTATGTGATTTGACTGGCTGACTGGTTGACTGAGAGTCGTGCTACAATGGCTCTTTCTTAATGCCACTCAGACCTTTGAGTTCTGAGCTGCTTTCTCGTTGCATGTGTAGCATCCATTCCAGTGCCCCCTTTCACAGCGCCTCTTTGTACGCCAATGACCGCGAAAACCGCATTAACCTACGAACACCCCGCTGACGCATGGCCTGAGCTGGGCGCCTCTTGTTTAGCTGTAGTGAGTCACGGCCGCGGACACGGACACTTTCGCCAGCTCACTCACATCGGACAGTCTGGCTTGTTACCCCTGTACCCTCGTTATCATGCCCCCGACAGAGACCCTAAACCAACCAATCCCGTGTCCAACACTCAGCTAGACATTCCCTCATGCTGACACGGACACGTGATACTCGCGTAAACGGCACAGTGAGACTTATGCCATCGCGGACGGCCGCTTAGGTCTGACATGCAAGCAAACAGTCAAATCACGGCAACCTGCCCTATGCACAGAATAAATTGCTTCTCACATCTCTTTGACTTTTGACATTAGGCGGTGCGAAATTACTGTATGTGTGGTTAAAGTTGATCTCACATCCTTGACCGCCACACGTGTAAAGTTATGGTTTGTGCATTTGGGGGGGGGGACAAGTCGTGCTTGCGACGCACTCAGACAGGCTCTCCAGCTCTGTCGGCCACTGCGTTCACTTCCGGCATCAAACACCTGACCGACTTGGAAAATGGACTGGTGCCTGGAAGGGTAGGAGACGGTGGAGTCGACGCTCTCAGCGCATATTCCTCACTATAGACAATCTGCGGCGCTTCAATCTATCGCTGTGAGCTAAAGCCGTAGTACGGACGGCTGACAACTGACGAGACATCTCGGACCTCGCAGTCAGCCAAGTATGTGTTTGGATGAATCGGCCGACTGGTGGGCTGGGAGTGAGGCTGAAATGGTGCCTTCTTAATGTGACCTCTATGGGGTCTCCACGTAGTGGGAACTGAGCCGCCACGCTTTCTCTTTGTGGTGAAAAGCCCTGGTCAGTGTACGTTGCGGCTGATGGGAGGGATGTGGTGGTACGCCTATGTGTATGGTTTTCGTTGTGGCAGCCACCTGCGTCCTCTCCCGTCTCCGGTCTTCATTACTCTGCTACGACACCAGGTCCAGCTGGGGGAGGAGGAGACGGTGCGATAGATACTGTGCAAATTCACGCGCAAGCCACCATCCCTGCTCTCACCATGCTGTGGTGTAATCATTGGACATTGTCAGTCACGACGATCAGCGCTATTTGGCCGCCGGTTATCCCCCACCTGGGACCGATATCGAGACATAGTCAAGAAGACCGGAGGCGGGAGAGGGCTCAGATGGCTGGCTCGGCCGGGTCCACACCCAGGCGTATCCTCAAATCTCTGGTCCACAACGAACAAAAACAAGAGCGACGGCTAGCGCGGTCGAAGTCGCCCTAGACGTGCCGTCACACGCGACTCGGATCCCGCGGAGTAAAGTGCCATAGAGGCCACATTAATAGGAAGCCATTGCAACCTGACTCTCAGTCTGCCGGTCAGTCTCTCAACACATAAACACACAACTGGACTGTCTCCGAGGACTGACTTGGAGCGTCAGTTGGCAACCTTCCAAGCCACAGCACTTGGCGCACTGTGATAGTCTCGCGCTCGGATCGCACATGCAGAGGATGAACCACATGGCGAAGGAGTTGAGAATCGAACTTCCAACTTTCGTGAAAGGTGCCAGTATTGTGGGATTTTGGAGGGCTGTATGCGTGGGGCATAAAATGGTGGGGGACTGTATGGTGATGTGGTTGCTCCTGCGGCGATTTGCCGCAGGCCTTCATGAACGCACATGTGGCCGAAAAGGCACATGCGGTGGCTGAATGTGCGGAGGCAATGTAGGCAGTTCAGCCGAGTGCGTCTGGTGTGTGCTGATGCTCCAGGCACTGGCTCGCTAATCCCTGTTCGATGGACTCACAAGCGGCCGTTCAGGTCGATGTGTGAGGTGAATGTACGGCGGCAGTATGAGAAGGATAGGTCGTGAGCGATAGAGTCGGTTTCGATGGTGATGATGGTAGTGCTGCTATTGTTGGTGATAGGTGCGCAAGACGATAGGGAAATGATTGGGCTGGGGATGATGGACGTGCAAGGTGTTCTAGCTGTACCGATACCGCGGTGTACTCTGCTGTCAAGGATACGCATGTGACCGAGTGAGCTCATGCGGTGGATGAATGCGCGCGAACAGCGAGAGCAGATGCGATCAGTGTACGTTTGTGCTTCAGGCCCTTGTTCACCAGTCTCTGCACCATGGATTTGCAAGTGACTGACCAGGCTGATGTGTGAGACGAATGTGCGGTCGTAATGAAGACATGTTGGGACCGAGTCCACATCGCCGTAGGTGGGGGTGGTGATGGAGAATTTGCTGGGGGGTTGTCGGGGTGTCGGGGACGTTTTGGTCGGTGGAGGTGGATATAGGTGGTTGTGTTCACCATCGCCGCGGTTGTTTTGGCAGAGACAATCGTGGTGGTAATGGTCGACGACAATGCGGCACAGGAATTCGAAACAACTTTGGCGAAGGTGGGCTTCGACTTGGTCGGCATGGAGCAGGCGCGGTCGTGGAGGCAGAAACTGCGGTTGTCGGGCGGTTCGCGCATTTGGTCCGAAGATGACTGACGGGACTCGTCTGCGCGCGAAGTTCTTCACTGATAGCGCGGGCACATTGGGCGCGATTGAGTATCGATGTTGCGGAACACCAGCGTCGGAGACTTTTAAGCAGTCTTTTTGGCTTTGTCGGCGACGATCCGACTTGTTTCGTGGATGACTGCGTCAGTCTTCACTTCACTTCTCCAGGACGATCTGTTTCGGACGAGGTTTACCCAGGTTTCTAGATTCATATGGAATCGCTTAAGAGGACCCTTCAAAGTGCTCTTGTTGCTTCATTTTGATCGCCATGGTCAGCGAGCACCCATAGCGACATCTCCGTAGAAGGTTTGTTTTGGTAGGCGGGCGTCGTCCATTCTCACCAGATAGCCGCCCCATCGTAGTTGCAGTTATCTCAGCATGGTGTGGATGCAGAGGATTCCGGTCCGTTCCAGGGCCTTCGTGTCCGGGATCCTGTCCGACCATCTCAGTCTCAGTATCATGCAAGTCAGCTAAGATGGAAGTGCTTGAGCTTCCTGACATGGATTGCATAAATGGTCCAGGTCTCCGCTCCGTACAGGAATGTCCCCAAAACGACGACCTTGTACATTTTCAGTATGGCGTTCAGTTGAAGGCCGTGACGATTCCACTCGGACAGTTTCGTCGTCGATGTTTGTGCTGCGCAAGAGTGAGCTTCCTAGATAGGCTAAATTGTCCACAGTTTTCAGTTTGTTGCCGTTGACACTGATTCAGGAAGTTATATTCAGCGTTCAGTGGCGGCTGATGCATGACGACCGTTTTTTCTTCGTGGATTGTCAGGACGAAGTTGGAACACTCGGTTGCGAAGAGGACCATGCTCCCTTGCGTATCTTCTTCGGTCGTAGTGTTGATTGCGCAGTCGTTGGTGAAAAGTAAATCGTAGACCGTGGTCGTATATAGCCGCGTTCAGTTTCATTTTGTTTCAGTTTCTTTAGTAAGGATAATAGGCAAAGCCTTCGAAAACCCTATTAATTACAGTAGTAGGATCGCATTCCTAGACAATTCTCTTGTAGCTGGCGAACGTTAAATACCATATCAGTGATCCTGCGGTATAGTCGAAGGCCACACCGGATTTCCGGCGGCATTTCTTGCTCTAGGTGGCCGTTGCGACGATTGAGGAGAGGGCGATCGAAGATCATCCCGGCGATGTTGAGTAACGAAATGCCTTTGTGGTTACCACAGAATTGCCGGCCTCCTTTGTGCCTGTAGTGATAAACGACGATCGCGTCCCTGAAGTCCTGAGGGACCTGCCCTTATCGTCACATCTCCTAGAGGAGTGCTGTGCGATGATCCATCAGTCAGTGGCCGCCTTGCTTGTAGATTTCAGCCGGAATCGCACCTGATATTGAGGCTTTCGCGCTGGAGAGTTGTATGCACGGTCCGGATGGTTCCTGAAGGGAGGGCTGAAGATCTAGGTCGATGTTGACTTCCACTTGGGAGAGCCAGTAGATGGTGGCGCCGAAGATTGTGGAGGCGCGGTAGAGGACTTTTCTGAAGTGCTCGGCGCAGCGCTTCAGAATCTGCGAATTCTCAGTCGGAAGCTTCGGTCCATCTGAGCTGAGAAGCAGCTCGTCTCCTTCCGTTGGAGGCCGTAGATCGCCTTGATCTCAGCAAAGAAGTTCTTCGTTCCACTGCGGCCGACATATCCCTGTATCTCATCGGCCTCGCGAGCCATCCAGACGTCCTGCATTTCTCGCAACCGCTGAGCAAGGCGCGACACTGGTAGAAGGCCGCTTTGTTTGCATCTACTGCAGTCCGTTCTTCTCGTCGAGAAGTTTTGTGACGTCAGCGGCGTTGTCCTGGGACCAGCCCATGTACTGGCGATGTGCGCGGTTGAGGACACCTACGACGGTCGAATGGACAGCCTCCCGCAAGTGGCGCCATCTATCCTCCATGTGGACGTATTTATCTGGAGTTGGCAGGTCTTCCGGCCGATGGATCAGTTGATTGCTGAAATACGAACGATGAGTAGGCATATTTAATAGAAAAGTACTCAACTTATTTGATGGTCGCTTACCTTTTGGCCTCCTGCGGGAATGCAGACGGAGCCTCATCTTGTAGACGACGAGGCGGTGGTCCGCTCAGCCATTGGCGTCGCAGAGCGCCTTGGTTACCGTCACGTCCTCTCGATCGTGCCGCCGGACGAGGACACAGTCCAGCGGGTGCTAGCGCTGCGATCGAACGTGCGTCCAGGTCGCCCTCTTCGGCGTCGACAAGAGGTAAGTATTGATCCGAAGAAGACGGCGGTCTGCGCAGGTTTGCAGGACGAAGAAACCGGCGATTCTATGAGTACCCAGCACTCACTCCAGACAGCGTAGTGTGTCCCGACGCCGGCATTGAAATCACCAATGGCAATCAGCATGTCGCCCATTTGCACAGGGCCAGAAGGTTGTGCAGATCTTCGTAGAACTTGGACTTCGCCTCTTCAGACCCGGTCCTTGTTGGGGCATAGGCGCTGATGGTGGTGGCGAATTGGGATTCCCCAAGAGGCAGACGCAGGCCCACAAGTCAGTCGCTGATGCCCTGTGGCAAACAGAACAGTCGTCCCAGGCTGTCGATAAGGATAGCAAAGGCCACACACGCGTCTTATCGCCCAGCCTTTGGATAGCCGCTCCAGGCAGATGCCGAATTCTACTGGGGGCCACGCCTGTGTCTACTAGAGAGCGACCCTAGTTGACCTGGCCCCCCTACAGGATTGCATGTTAACCTCTCCGTCAGTCTTGTTGAATTGGGAATGAGAGTAGAGGGATGGGAGGTGTAGGGGGGGGGGTTGGAAAGGGCGACGGGGTTACCGCGTGTGGCATCATACAACACCAGATAACCTCACCTGGTTTAGGCTGCCGGCTGAGGCGGTTACAGGGGTATGACCGCTAGAGGGAGCCTAGCTTCAGGTGGCCACATGTGAGAGTTGGGTGCCAGATACTGAACGCTGGGCGTACTCAGCACTTGCAAGCAAGTGAAATGACCTATTAGGACCTTTGTGTGAACCAACAACTGGATACCCCTAAATCCCGCCCACCAAATACATCCGGAAACTCATACACCACCAACAACATTACGAAATACACCACTGATGTAAACAATACTATTAAAACTAAACTCACAAATGACAAGAGAATCCCGGATGTTTCTTAAAATTAGGTTCGAAGTATCGTAAAATATTCGAGAAGTGTCTCAGATGGTAAAGACGCTCATTATGGGATGACTGCTAGGTGAGACTGGATAGGATTTCGGGAAAATTTTGGTGATTTTTACCCCACAATATGAGTGAATTTCGCCATGTAAACAATGGTCTGACCATTTGGTTGTCGTTTACTTAATAAAACTTCAGTCGGCGACATTTTCATATGTAACTAGAACCATTTTAAATATTGGTTTTAAAAAATTCAAAAAACAACAAGGTCCAGTTATCCCCAAGGAATATACAACAACTTAGGTTCCACAGAACTCAAATTTCATATGCGCGGATACCCCTCGTCTTCATCATCTATTCTACAGACTTGAATTTTTCCAGTAAAATCAGGATACTGTCAGGATGGTGCGCAAGGAAGACTTTTTTCAAATCTGTTTCCCAAATGTCAGTTATTATTTTGCCGATCAAAAGAGTGGAGCGCTGTCTTGCCGACCACCTAGTGTTTTTTTATGAAATCAGTTCCTATAAAAACGATTAAGAGGCAAGGGTAAAAGCAGCTGCAGTTGGCTACCGTCAGTGCACTGCCTACGTGCTTTGGCTTCCAGGCCATACGAATCATGAGGAATGCCACTGCTAAGCCACCCCATCTTTTCCCAGGGGCGAGGAATTGCGACCACTCAGTTGACCTCCGTATGGGCATTCTTCCGTCTAGACATTTATAGCCGTCCACAGCTCACTGGAACATACCATTCCCTCGGGTACTGTGGCACACAGCCCTCACACACTAGCGATCTCGAATTAGCTCTGACGCTGATATCAAAGCAGCATACCCCCTAGCCCACATCCTGAGGTCGCCATCTGCCTTTGTTTTTCTGAGACAGTGACTCCAGGCATACAATAAATCTCCCCTTGCTGTTTCTCGCCTTTCGCCACTAACTGAGACTTCGGCTAACGATGGCGATGTTTATGGTACATACACTCCTTTAGCCTAAAGGTGCATCTTACATCACGTTTGCGTCCACTGAATATGCTGTATTCACTAAATTTAAATTCAAAGTTATTAATGGCCTTCAATTTGCAAAACGGCAATCCTCTGCATAATATTAGAATGCGCTTTATTCCTTTAGTTTGTTTCACAGTGATGTTTAAGGGTGCTTCAAACCATAATGTGTTTTTTCGAGTAAACGAAAACAATGTGGTTTTTGAAAAACCACAGTCTGTGTTAACGCCTGCTATTTCTGCCAGAGATAACCACTTTGAGATAAGTACGCTAATTCAATTAATTCTGAAATGCAACTTTAATTACCATCTCAAATAAAACTGACAGAAGGGCAAAATATGAGGGGGAAGTAGTTTTCATGTGCTTTGTTTTACTAGCTGCCTGAGAAAATTATGTAGGACGCTAATGTCCTCAAAGCTCAGCTTTTGCAAATAACAGTGTTTCGACACTGTTCGTCGAAATAGTTTGTCATATGCTGGAGTTTCCTGTCGAGGTAATAATTTGTGTAAGATTCTGAATCTTCACTAAAGTATTTAGGACTTTAAAATAGGTATGTCTTCTGCATAGTGTTACAGGCTCTAAAAAAGTTCTTGATTCCTACTTGTCCCGTTGGCCATAATCCATTCCATGCTTTGGACAGGCTACCAGTTGGAATACGGTAGTTAACAACAGAAAGAATACTTATGATAACGACATAAAGAAAGTAGACTCTTCTTGGTTACAAGGTTCTTTGCCGACTCCTAAGGCACTATTAGTGAAAATAAAATAGCTTTCGTTAGTCAGACTTGGTCTACATTTCTGGTGCTTTTTCATATCCCTGAGGAATGGTTTGTAGCGTGCTTTGACGGTGTCATAAATTTCCAAGCGAACTGTAGAGGTCGTAGTTGCAACAACAAGGGTACAGCAATTGCATTTAGCTATCGACATTTCAGATAGAGTGTTGGACGTTTGACAGAAGGGTGTGTGCCCCAGCTGGGGACGCAAGTATGCGAAACAAATCCTGCGTATAAAACAGAGGTGCAATTTCCTAAAAATCCACTGCCCGTACGCGGTAGGACATTGACGTGCCTCTACATGTCAGTCTGAAAAGTAGGGCAGTTTCTAATGGGATGCGTTGTATTTATTCGCAGGAAGAGTACAAAAAGTTTAATTTCGTTAAAAGGATGTTGTAGACAACAGAGTTTCTCTTTTTCCATGCTGGATGTCGATAAGACTTTGGTTTTACTTGATAACTGCGACAACTCCTAGGTCACGTATATCTGGGGAAAAAACCGTCCCCAAATTATCGTTTTTTTCATTGCATTTCTCTTATTAAGATTTTAGAGACAAGTTAAAGTAAAGTTGGTCATAAAAAACTTCACTTAATCGTGCATGCCGTTAAAATAACCTGAGATGATTAGGTGCACCCTTCCGACAAACCCGACTATTATATCCTAACATTCATCATTTATATGCTTGCCGGTCGCAGTCCAAAATAATACCTAAAACTCCTTTTCTTCGAAACCGAAAAAGAAGGAACAGTTTTAAGTCGGAAACGGTAAATTAGATCCCGCAGTGTACCAAAGATGGCCTCTTGCTAAAGTCTAGGGGGTTCTTATTCGTGTGTCCTAACTTTAGCCTAAACGCTAGCACATAGCCTACTCCTCTTAGCTCTAATCCAAACACTAATCCTCATAAACCGGACCCCAGCCGTAGCCTTAATCTTAACCTTCCTTACCCTAACGCCCACCCTAGCACTAGGCACATTTTGAACCCAGCCTAGAATTTAGAGGTGGGTCACCAGCAATTTGGGGGGTCCGTTTTTTCCCTGCCTAACCCATTTGCCTTTCTGCGTTTCATTTTCTAAGCAATCCATGACTTCAGATTGAAAAAATATGTCATAATCTAGAAATATCGTTGCCATGACGTCAAGTCCCTGTCTGAGTTGCGTGAGCGGCCAGCCGCTCGAGTCATGGTTCTCAGGCCCGTAATCCCTCAACAAGCGAACGCACCTCCTGTTACCCTATCGGGTGCTTAGACATTCCCTGGGCAGGGGGATCAGTCACGTAGAGAGCTCGCGGGCGAGCAACGATCCCAGTGAGACCGGGCCAAATGTCCGAGTAATCCTCGCGCCAACATCCAACACGGATGATGAAATTGCGGCAATTTACGACTCGGACGCGGACTGACAAGCCTTCATCGTATCAATCACGACCACCAGCTGTGGTCGCAAGAGCTGTCCCCCGGCAGCTACGTACTATGAATACCGCACTCGTTGTGCCTCCACTACCCATATCTGCGACTGTCTGATGATGGTTTCGAGTACGAACTCAAAGCCTTGGGCCGATAAACTTCTTGCTCCAGAGATCGCATCTTCTTCTAAACTGCTCCCTGACACTCGCCTGTTCGCATCCATCGGCAGCACATTCCAAACCTCAACAAGATCTCATGGTAGAACGACCGGTACTTCGAGAGCGCAAACCCGTCCTATGAATACGCACGAGAGATGGCGATGTAGCAAGGGAATATATAAATGAAGATCTTTTTAAAATAATGACAGACTGAACGTCGATTGGGTGGGACAGTAAAGCATAGCTTTATCTCTCCCACCAATGCTATCGGTAACCAAAAATTATTAACGACTCTGTTGTATTGTATCATGACCGTATGGTTTTACCTACAGATTAATTAAAGCAAAGTAGTCGTAGATAGAATGTAAATGACCAGAGGCTTGTTGAGCCGGATAGATTCCAGCTTACATAAATATATAATTCACGACAGCCGATGGTACACATAAAATAAGAGTAACCTAGGCGGGAGCTGGCCACGCGCTCAATACCACAACGCTACTCTATTTGTGTTTTCCATTATTCCCTTACGTGAGGACTACTTGTCAGATGTTCCGGTCTGCAGTGGAGTTAACTCCGCCACATTGCAAATACGGGATTGTGTAGGCTTGAACCAGACTTCGTTCACTTTTAGCAGTACAAGGTTAAGAGCATTAAGTGCGTGGGATAATATTAGCAAGTCTAAACCAACAGTAACACGCCTAACCTACGGTACTGTGTGCCGGTCGCTAAACCTCTCCAGTATGCGCCTGAGGGCTGTTTTTACCACAGCTCGTTTTTACCTGTCGTATTTCTTTGCCATCCCTCTCGGTTAGGTCACTCCTCAGGGGTGTGTAGCCTAGAGGAGCTGTTACATTTGATGATGACCGCACTTTTCATCGGGCATTGAGGCTCATATATCATGCATTTGC